GGCCGTAGACGAAGCTATTCCCACTCCGTTATCACCCTGTGAGGCTTGTTGTGTTCCTCCACGTCCACGGCCACGGCCACGTCCACGGCCACGTCCACGTCCACGTCCACGTCCACGGCCACCTTCCTAGGCCGTAGATGAAGCTATTCCCACTCCGTTATCACCCTGCGAGGCTTGTTGTGTTCCTCCACGTCCACGGCCACGTCCACGGCCACGGCTACGTCCACGTCCACCTTCCTGGGATAGTATGAGCTCAAAGCCGGAGGGTTCTCGCTGGGTGGAGGTGTCTTGGGTGCTTGCTTGGGTGCTTTCGCCGCCGATGAAGTTCCTAGCGCCTTGGGGGCGTCCTCGCCGGCGTACTTGGAGAGGATCCTGGAGTAGGAGTAGCGGGTCAATAGGAGGCGTAGAGACACTATACAAATGCTAGTGTTGATGGAATAACTTAGGCTCAAAGCTCTTGTTCTCCACTTCGTACTGTATGATGAGATGAATGCATGGAAACCCTGCCGTACCTAGCGAATTATAGCGGCAAAGTGGAGGAATCGGCGGCTTCTCGTCACTTGCTGGTAGGAAGCGGTTGTAGACGTCTTTTGTATGCTCTATCGCCTTGGCTGAAATTCGTCTAAGAACTAGCCTAAATAGCTGCTTCTAGCGACTATTAGTAGGCCTTCTTACCTTCTTATTCTCGATCTTAGCGGTAGCCTTTTGAAATTGAAGCTTTATAGCATTCTTAAAGGTGCGAAGGACCACTAGTAGATCATTAGTTGAGACTTGAAGGCCCTGCTTAAGTAGCTAGTGAGCTCCCTCGGTCCGAGAGGTCGCAATCTCATTGAGATGAAGGTATTCGGAGGTGTATTCATGAAGGAAATACTTAGGGCAGTCGTCTAGCCATTCACTCTGTAGATATTGGAGTAAAGGTTTAAAAATCGGCTCCTTGTAGTGCTCTTTGAATTGTCTCTATCTCTCCTCCCTCTCTACGGTTATGATCGTATAGACGACGCGAATCCACCGCTTTAGCATCGTCTTCTATACTTCATAGACCATTTCTCGAAGCTCTCGGTCTCTCTCCGCCTTTGTCTGACGCTATAAAGCCGAGGAAGCAGCCTCTTGCCGCTCTTTTGCTAGCTACTCTACGAGAATCGGACGAGCTTTCTTTATGATATTCATATTGATATGCTATAGACAGATTATATGCTTTGTAGAAGGGAAGACGACCTTCACAGCATTCATTAGCGCTTACTCCTTATCGGAAAGGATAGTCCGGGGTGCTTGAAGGCTAAGAGCTTCGTAAGCCTCTGCTAGACAGCTTAAAATGACTTCGTAGCTGTCATCTTTCTCGTCCTTTATAAATGCGAAGCCGATATAAAAGGTTGAGCCCGTAGTAGTGAAGCCGACGATATCGAGCATTGGAAGGCCATACCGGTTAGTTTTATATATACAGTCCATTGAAATAACCCATAAATTTGTCTTAAGGAATGCAATACTCGTTTTATGCATACAAAAGAGGGCTGTGACATGATTCTCATCGTTAACTTCATACTTGAAGATCCATTCGCCGTCCTTTGGAAGCTCTATCAAGAGAGCTTAAAGCGGTGTACGGCCAGCAAGGAAATCAACATAAAGCTTCCTCCGAAAGTTGTAGATATCCCGGGCAGTGAGGCAGGAATCCTGGTCGTCCTTTTGAATGCCGGTGAGAATATGACGGGTAGAAAGACCCTGCTGGAGCTGATTCTCAATATTCGATGCCTTTACATACAATTCCTGCTTCCGGTGTGGCATATGAGTAAGAGGAGGCGAGGACTCATGGTTATGGTGTTGATTCTCCACTGTAAGGTTCTATCGGCCTTCTTGAAGCCGTAGCGATATCGAAAAGGGGCATTCAATCGCTAGCGAGGTAGTCTCCCGCTTCCGCGTAGGGCTATTCGGGCTGTTTCTTAGCCGGCGGCCCCGGTCACAGCATAGGCGAACTATCTTTAGGACCCCTTTCTTTGTACGTTTCGACCGAAGAGTTGAGACTGCGTAGCCATGCTGGCGGCCGAAGATATTGATCGCGACAATTCCTTGCTTAGGCGTATCGTACTGCTGAGGTAAAGGAGGCAGCGGGAAGGTGTAGGACTCGGGAATAGCGTCATGGAGGCTTGGCGGCGCGTGATGGAGGCTTGGCGTCGCGTCATGGAGGCTTGGCGGCGCGTCATGGAGGCTTGGCGGCATCGGCGGGGACTCGGGAATAGCTTCATGCTCAGAATCGGACGGCGAATCAGGCTGTGAGGAAGCCATTGTAAAAAGCAATAAAATGCGAGAGAAATGGGTGGAAACATGGGAGGTTTGAAGGTGTAAACAACAATTATTTT